TCCCATGGGGTGCAGGGCCCAAGCACCTGGGCCATCCTCCACTGCACTCCCTGGCCACAGCAGAGAGCTGGCCTGGAAGAGGGGCAACCGGGACAGAATCCGGCGCCCCAACCGGGACTAGAACCCGGTGTGCCGGTGCCGCAAGGCGGAGGATTAGCCTAGTGAGGCGCGGCGCCAGCCCCAAAAGTGATTTTTTAATGAAGAAATACTTTTGTTTTAATTTGTAATATGGCAAACATCCACAAATAAAAGTCTTTTGTGATCCTAGCTATGCAAAGGAGTCCAGAGACCAAAAAGTTTGAGAACTGCTATTCTAACAAAAGCAATGACACTTTCTCACTCACTACCTTACCTAATAACTGTAAGACTGGAATAAACTTAGAAGGATAAACAAAGCACAACAGGAAGTAACATCAGAAGTGGCCAGTGGCCGATTCTTCTTTCCACAGAGGTCACCATCAGCATGCAAGGCTTACCACAAAGGTCTCTAATCTGCTTTCTTATTCTTCTATGGCAAACCAGGACTTCTTCCCCCAGCAATTTCCTAACGAGTCAGTTTAGGAACAAGCTAAACCAAGGGAACTCTCAGATTATCCACCTTTTTCCGTTTTTTTTTTTAATCTAATATATGTAGATAAATTTTAAATTAATTCAAATATATGCAAGTGAGAAATTAATTCCTTTGTTGAACCTAGATTATATGAACTACAAGATGAGTCTCCTTTTCCAACAGGCATGAGACCCAGGAGTATTTTTAGTTTTTTTGGACTCTGAAATATTTGCATAAACAAACTGACATCTCCTAGGCATAGGACTCAAGTCTAAATACGAAGTCCATTTGTGTTTCATATATACTTTATACACACACCTGAAAACCTTATACAACATTTTAAATAACTTTGCACATCAAACCAAGTTTCACGGTGTGGAATTTTCCACTGTGGCATTTGTCAGCGTCAAACACCTTTGGATTTTGGCGCACGCAGCCTAGTACTGCACCGTGGACGGTTCCCTCTCTGGGTAGCTCTGCAGAGCCAGCTACACTCACCATCTACAGGACAGGTTCCTGAAGTGGATCACAGCGCTTTCTATCACTGGGACCCTGCTACCCTGATCACACTCAACTGTCGTCATCTAAAGGTTGAGCAGCTGCCTCAAACAACCAGAACTTCCACAGAAGGAAGGAGTTTCGTCATTAATAACCAGAATATTATCTGTATTGAAAAGCAAATAGTGGAGTCATCCTGCCCAGAGCAATGACGTGCTGAATGGCTCCTAAATGACATCCTCACCTCCATAACCGACTGCAGGACTACTGAAACACCATCTTCTTTTTCTCTACATTGGGGGAAAATGAGGAGAGAAGGGGAAGATGGTAGTGCGGGGGAGTGATTTGTATAAATCCTGGTTATTAAGGTAACATAACAGTCCTCAAAACCTAAAAATCTAACTGCCCCATTTAGTTAACACTTTTAAATACTCAGGGATCCTTTTAAAAGAGAAAAAAAGGGGCTGGTGCTGTGGCGCAGCAGGTTAAAACCCTGGCTTGCAGTACCACATCCCATATGGGTGCCGGTTCAAGTGTCGGTTGTTCCACCTCCAATCCAGCTCTCTGCTATGGCCTGGGAAAGCAGAAGATGGCCCAAGTCCTTGGGCCCCTGTACCCACGTGGGAGACAAGGAAGAAGCTCCTGGCTCCTGGCTTCAGATCGGTGCAGCTCTGGCCATTGCAGTCATTTGGGGAGTGAACCAACAGATGGAAGACCTCCCTCCCTCCCTCCCTCTCTCTGGCTCTACCTCTCTGTAACTCTGCCTTTCAAATAAATAAGATAAGTCTTTAAAAAAGAAAAAGAAAAGGGCCGGCACCGCGGCTCACTAGGCTAATCCTCCGCCTTGTGGCGCCGGCACACCGGGTTCTAGTCCCGGTCGGGGCGCCGGATTCTGTCCCGGTTGCCCCTCTTCCAGGCCAGCTCTCTGCTGTGGCCCGGGAGTGCAGTGGAGGATGGCCCAAGTGCTTGGGCCCTGCACCCCATGGGAGACCAGGAGAAGCACCTGGCTCCTGCCATCGGATCAGCGCGGTGCGCCGGCCGTGGTGCGCCAGCCGCAGTGCGCCAGCCACGGCAGCCATTGGAGGGTGAACCAACGGCAAAGGAAGACCTTTCTCTCTGTCTCTCTCTCTGTCAACTCTGCCTGTCAAGAAAAATAATAAAAAAAAAAAAAGAAAAAGAAAAGAAAAATACCAGAATGAAGAACTGGAGACTAATGGTAAGAAAGAAAAAAGTCGGTCTTGATCCTTTCCTCTCTGCACACACCAGCAGAACATTCACTGTACTGTGTAAAGGGAGAGCAGGATATCACCGGAACATCCAAGGTTTCATCAGGCAAACTCAGGACAGGGAGGCTTTGGAAAGGAATGGAAGCACTGCCTTAAACTGCTTCACCTGAATCCTATCCTTTGTCTCAAGAGTTTCCCCAATTAAAAGAAAAACTCGCTAAACATCTTTTCAATCTCATTGTCAGAGTAACAGAAGATGCAATAGAATTTGATCTTTAAACAAAGATCTAGAATGAAAAAAATGTAGACAAGAATACTACATCGCAGTCACTGATGCAACAGAACATGTTATACGAATAAAATTAGATGAAATAAAACTAGAAATCAGCATCGAGTGGCTAACAAGCTAAAATAAGGAATAATTCCACATAAGGGTTAAGAACAGTCAACTATTTTAAGTTCTTTCCAAAAACTTTTTTAAAGCCTCATCTTGGTAACTAAACAAGCAAGAGTTCACTTCTCGCCCAGTTCTGCCCAGCCACATGTTCAGCTTGGGGAGGGGAGGCAGGATGACAGCAAAATCTTTAAAGCGGGGATCTTTCTACAGGAGAATTTAGGACATTTTTCTCATTTTGTCTAATAAGAACAGTAATCCTCAAACAGGACCTTTTCCCCCAGACTTTCTACTCAGGCTAGACTTGGGTTCCTATGATAAATATGTGAAATACTCTTGAAGAAAGACTATTGACAAACACGATGGGGAAAAAACAGACTCACAACGCCGGAGAACTTCCCTTTCCTCACCTTTAATAACTCCTGCAGAACCAAAGCAAAAGAGCCAAGCAGTTCCGGCCAACGGGGCACAACTTCGGGATTTCTTAGGTACAATTTCAAACTCAAGCAAAGAAGTCCATGAAGCATTTTTTAAAATATATATATGAATGTCATATTGATATGTGAGAAGATAAATGCATGTTTTTAAATTACACTGCAACTGCTTTCCCTAAAGCATGAGCCAAAAAATAAAAAGACCACAGATTGGTTTCAGGAGGTGAAAAACCCAGTAGCACTGCTCCTACACTATCCAACCAATCATTTAACAAGCTCTGGTGTTTGCAATTTGAACTTCACACCATCCAGGGAAATCTTTATGAATCAATAAGACATTCAATTTTCTCTAAAAATACAGACAAAAATAAATATCTGCCCTCCTCTTGTCGTAAAATAGTCTGGACCGTCAAACTGGAACTATAACATATGCATGTATTTTTCAATCTAAAGAATACACCTGTACAACTGTGACCCAAAGAAACCAATCTGGAAAACAAATTTTAATAAGTCAATCAGGAAAACTGGAAAACTGAATGTCTGATAACATTTAAGGAATCACTATCGATGTTCTTTAGGTCTGATGGTGACATATGGTTGTGTTTTATATTTCTGTGCCTTTCTTTTTCATGAGTTTCTCTATCAGATACACCTGATAGAGCTACAAATGAAAGGCTACCCAGGTCTGCTCTGAAATATCCAGCAAGTGCAACAAGCAGAATTCGCGGGCGGTGCTAACAATGACACAATTAATTCATGAACTTTCATTATTCTGGCGTTTGTATACAGCTAAAATTTTTCTGATTATTAAAAAAAAAGTATCCCATGCAACAGAAACGTATCCAAAGTACAGAAATGTGTGTCCACTAAACCTCTCAGAAATAAGTTCCTCTCGTTTGAATAAACGTTCAAATCAATTAACTTCCTCCGATACACCTGAAACTGAAACAGAGGGCGCTCCTTGTCAACCACGTAAGTGCTAGGTGAGCAAACAATCCTGGATTCCCATTTTACTTAGGAACTTGATTTTAACCTCAAGACCTCTTCCTGTGGGTCCGAATGATGAATTAGCACACGTTTTGCTGTGTTCCGAGTCTACCTTACTGTCCCCTGGTATTTAAACTAAGTTTGGTACAAAGGTGAAAAGTAACAGATGTCGCTCACTCCCAGGAAGTAAACTCTCGTTGAAAAGGAGAGAGAACTCCATCGAACGTAACACACAGAAATGTTCCAAAAATAGGATAGCAACGTTATCCACCCCCACCCACCAAAAAAAAAAAAAAAACCTTTTCAGTGGCAGAACCGAGCGACCCTGGTTGGTTCGCTTCATCTCCCCGTCCTGTCTTAGGGGAGGTGCTAGAGAGCAAAATTACCAAAAGACAGGCCGGAAGAAGGCAGGCGAGAGGCGTGGAGTCGGACAATCAGTCCGTAAATCCTCCAGCAGTCAGCGCACAGCACACTGAAGTGCAAGGGCAGCGCGCTCCTAAGTGGTTCCCCAACTCCAGCGCCCCAGAGAGGAAGCCCCCGCGGGCTGCGGGCTCCCTTCTCTGCCCCCGACTACTCACAAAGGCACAGAAAGAACTCTTCGCCAACTCAGCCCGAAAAGCCAGCTCCCACCCTCCCGGGCCCGGCGCGGCCGCCCCAAGCCCTCCCCGCGCGGCCGGCCCGGGGCCCCCGCACGACCGCCCTGCTCCTCAGGCCGAGGGGCGGCGGGGAGACCGAGCCCAGCCGGGAGGACCCGCCCGCCGCCGCAGCCCCCCGCGCCCGCCCGCCCGCCTCTGGGGTCTGGGATCCGCGCTGCCGCCTGTGGGGCCGGGCCCGGAGCCCCGCGAGCCTCCTCACGAGCCTCCACCCCGGTCCAGCCCCGCGCCCCTCGGACCCAGAGCCACTGTGGCTACCTGTCTTCGCTCTTGTTTTTCTGCTTCTTCCCCATCGCTTGTCAGCGGTCCTCGCGACTCCAACCCCTCTATCCGGTCTCTCACAGACCCACCGTCCCCCACGCCGACTTGGGGCTCCGCTCTGCTCCGCGCTGCCGCCTCTCGCACCCGGCTCTCCACAGACGCGCGCACTGGGACAGGGCACATATGGTGTGGGCTCTCAGTGCGCAAGCGCATCGCCCCGCCGCCTCGGCGTGGGGACGCAAGGCGCGGCTCATCGAGAGCTGCGCGGCAGATAGAGCGTCCGCAGCTGCCCGGCCGGCCAGGCAGGAGCCCGAGCGCCCCCTGCCCGCACGCGTGCGCCTTGCACGGACGCCCGCGCGCCTTCCAGGTTCTAGAACCCGGAGGGGGACAATGAGGCTGCCGGTTCCTCCACGTCAGCCCAGGGGCCCCGAGCGAGAAGGCAGGGCTGGGGGGCTGGCAGGCGGCTCAGAAGCAGGTCCTGAGCTTCCTTTATGCCCCTGTATTCTTAGAAGCAGTTAGTTCGGTAAAGAATCACGATGAACCCATGATGAGCCCCCTCTGAGGTGCCAGGACAAAATGGGAACCTCTCGCCAACGTCCGTGGATTATGAATGACGAGTATGGACAGTCACTACAAGAAGCGCACAGGGACATTTACAGAACGAGTTCTATAAATCCCGTCACGGAAGAACCTACTGGAGGGGTGGAAATGTTCCATCTCTGGACTCGGGCTTTGGTTTTTGGGTGTTAACGGGAAATTCTGTCTTGTTGTACAGGCTAGACCACCATTTTAGAACAAAGGGCAACGTTCAAAAGACAACAGAAACGAGTTCGAGTGTCAGCTCCCGAGCACGGTCTAGCTCCTGTGTTTCTGATGTAATATGAGTGCTGAGGCACGGTGCCTAAGAAAGTTGGACAACCCCAGCTGTTCCCGACGAAACTACAAGTTCCAGGATACTTTGCGGCCTTTCCCGCCGTGCAGTTTACCCCGAGGGAGGAGCCTCAGGTCCCGACCACAGGGCGGATGGGGGGAGGGCGCATGCGTAGAGGCGCTTGCCATACGCCCAGCCTCCCCCTCCCTCGGGCAATGTAGATTGTATCGCGAGACGACCGCAGCCAATGAGAAGGCGGAAGTGACGCATGTCCGCGCCCGCCGGCAGCGGCTGAGAGGCTGAAACCAGAGTGGACCGCTCTTGTTAAGCGGCTGTTACCGTCGCTTCTCAGGAATCGGCGAGAGCTTGGGTGAGGCAGAGGGTGGTGCGGCAGAACCAGCCACCGCGGCCCGGTGGTACGTGAGAGACCGCTGCTCAGCGTTGCGGCTGGGGGAGGGGCGCGGCCGGGACGCCGGTGTCCGGGCGGCGGCGGCGGCTCGGCGCATGCGCCCGGGGGCGTTGCCCTCAGGGCTGCCGGAACTGAGCGCTGGTCTGGTCCCGGGGGCCCAGGGAGTGGCGGGGTTATTGTTGGTTCCCGGGGCTGCTGCTAAGGACGTGGGCCCTTGGTCATTTGGTCGTCTGCCTGGAGGGGAGTGGGTCGGGGATTAGAGGACCCGCGGGGCCGCGCCCCTCCCTCCCACTGGAGCTGTAGAAAAGGAGAAATCAGAGGCTGAAAAGTTACCAGGACCTCCGTCCGTCTCCTGACCCCCTCCGGGATGGGGTCACGACCGCCAGCCGCCCCCACGATTCCGCAGTGCTGAGCTTGTTCTTTGAAAACCCCGGGCGTGAGCGTCGCCGAGCCCCTGGCGGTAGCAGGTGCTGCCGCCCAGGCCCGGGTCCGTCTCGCCTGGGGCTGGTCCCCGCCCCGAGCGGCGCAGGCCTCTGACATCTTCCTGGAGAGTCTCTTACTGTAGTCGGAGTACAGCTCCGTCTCTTTCCCAGCGTTGATGTTGTGCTAATTCAGTTTCTTACTCAGATTTCTAAGATCTTCAGTAACACAGGCTGACTGTTCCTTATCTGAAATGCTTGGAACTGGAAGCGTATTGGATCTTGGATTTTTTTCTTCAGATTTTGGAGTATATGCATGTACACGATGAGTTATTTTCAGATTTTGAACTATATATGCATATACATGATGAGTTATCTTGGCAATGGGACCCAAGTCAAAACATGAAATTTACTTACCTTTTATTTTCATCTTATACATCTAACCTGAAGGTATTTTGTATAATATTTTTAGTGCACTTGCATTTTGACATCACATCAGATCAGGTATGGGACTTTAAGTGGCTGCTATAATGTTGTTGCTCAACAAGTTAGATTTTAGAACATTTCAGGTTTTTGCATTAGAGATGCTCAGCCTATATTTGTAAATGTGCCGTAGCTCACTTCTTCCAGGTCTCCCATTTATAATTTGCTTTGGCAGGCAAATTATAAATCGTATTTCTATGGTAATAACTCAGACATAAAATCGCCCTTTGTTGCTGGTAGAAAACACACCATTTCTTTTAAAACATATGCTGCACTTTAGATCTTTTCTCATCTGAATTGAATTTTAAGACATTTACACAGTGGAGTGATGGTTGTGGGGTGGCATCCATGTTTTAAACATATTTGAAGTGTTTATTTTACATCAAAGCTAAGTACACTGGCTTTAAATAAATTGAATCCAGTATTACTTTTTACAGTCTCATAGATTCTGTTAGGTATAGGAGAGTAGGAACGGACACTAACGCTTATAGAACACCTGACGCTGCCCTCTTACACAAATTCTGACACGGTTCCTTAGGAGTTAAAGACATGAAACTCACTTGGGCAGTGATCATAAAACAATCTAATGGACTGAACTCTCTGTTGGACCAAGGTTTGATAAATGTACATGCTGTATGTGTAAAACTTCAGTAGTTATAAATTATCACTGTTCACAGCCACTTCTGTTTTGCTTCCCTTTCCATTTGGTAAAGAATACTGATTATCAGTATAATCACTAATTATCACTTCACAACTCATGGTTCTGTGGTCTGGTTGTGGTTGTAAAGATTTGTCTTTGTCTATCTTTGCTTCAGTTTAGACAAAGACTAAGAAACACCTACAATTACTGTCTAAGCTTTTGGGTGGAACGTTTAATTGAAAATTATTAAGCCTAATGTCAAATGCTCGGGTGCTGACACAGTAGTCCGTGACGTACACAGAGTACCGACTGCAGAAGTTGTGAAAGTAAGAGAGAAAGCTGCTTGCTGATTGTTGGCTTTTCTGTTTTTGTAAACTCTCTTCCCAGCCCAAGGCTGAACTGTGCCATTTGGAAGAATGGAAGCAGACGCATCTGTCGACATGTTTTCCAAAGTCCTGGAGAACCAGTTGCTTCAGACTACCAAGCTGGTGGAAGAACATTTGGATTCTGAAATTCAGAAACTGGATCAGATGGACGAGGATGAATTGGAACGCCTCAAAGAAAAGAGACTTGAGGCACTAAGGAAAGCTCAACAGCAGAAACAAGTAACCTCTCTGCCCTGCTTTCTGACATTGCTATAACAGTATGCGCCTAACAACTTATATATATGTGTGCTGTAGCATATTTTGGTCCTCATGTTTAGGGTTTTTTGAATTCAAAGTACCTATCACTGCTAAAAGTTTGCCCAGGAAAAAAAAAAGTTTTAAAGACACTTTTAAATTAGCCAAATCAGTGCTGCTCTCCACAGTAAGGTAAAAGCAAGAACTGCCCAAGATCGTTTTCGGAGTTTGGATTTGTTTAGTTGAGCCAGTAGACCAGAAACAGTGTCCGAAGATCTGGGGAGTTGGCAGTTTCCAGGAGTATTATGTCCATCCGAATTTGGATGTCTTCAAAGCAAACGAGATAAGACAAAGAAGATGAGAGGCTTTGAGTCGATTTATGTTGAAGGGATTAATTCAGGCATTTGCAGCATAATCTTGTAATTATGTGGCTTCTGTGTTCAGGAAAGCAGGCTAGGCTGAAGCCAGAACTCCATCTGGGTCTCATACATGGCTGTCAGGGGCCTACGTACTTGGGCCATCTTCCGCTCCTTTCCCAGATACATTAGCAGGGAGGTAGATTGGAAGTGGAGCAGCTGAGACTCAAACCTGCGCTCATGTGGGATGCCATATGGGATCCATGAAGGGATTGGGGAAATCTGAATGCAGTGGTTGGTACTCAGCAGTCGATAGGCCTTTGCTAGTCTATGGATTCCTGTGTCAACCCTCCTACCCTTATGGCAGCCAAAAATGTGGCACTAAGGAAGGGAACAGAGGGATAAGGAGGAGAAGTGGAGCCTAGCAGAGGCTTAGGTGTCACGGGGAGAGCCAGGTGCTGCCAGCCGCCACACCTCGGCAGGCCCATCCACTTTGGGGAAGCATGTGCTGTATGGGAGGTTCTGTGCTAGGAGTCCAGGGGCATGGGGAGTATCTCTGGACAGGCATTGAGCATGGGCCAAGGTGAAGAGTGAGCACACCCTCAGAGGAATCTGGACAGGCTCGGGTCTTCAGTGTCTTGGTTCAGTACATGAGGATAAGTAATGAAAGAATTAAGAGTACTTTAAACAAACACTTTCTATTGAAGGCAAGTGTCTTTGGTGAGTCAGGAAAACAGTGTGGAGGAACTGTATTTGAGAACTTAAAGTCTTTATAGAGACTACACGTAAGAAGACATCGTAAGGGGGGCCAGCGCTGTGGCACAGTGGGTTAACACCCTGGTCTGAACCACCGGCATCCCATTTGGGTGCCAGTTGGAGACCCGGCTGCTCCACTTCCGATCCAGCTCTCTTCTATGGCCTGGGAAAGCAGTAGAAGATGGCCCAAGTCCTTGGGCCCCTGTACCTGCAAGGGACCCAGAAGAGGCTCCTGGCTTCTGATTGGCTCAGCTCCAGGCCTTGAGGCAAATTAGGGAGTGAACCATCGATGGAAGACTTCTCTCTGTCTCTGCTTCTGCCTCTCCTCTCTCTGTGCAACTCTGACTTTCAAATAAACCTTTAAAAAAAAAAGGTGACATTATCAGGGCCTCCTGTGAGAGAGAGCTCAATGTAAGCTGATAAAAATTTGTATGAAAACCAGCAATACAGTCCGGGCCGTGTCAGCTGAAGTCCAGAGGCAGAACAAAAATGGCACTCCTGGCCTCCTTGGGTGGGCCATTTCTGGAGGGCTAGATTCAGACCTCTGCTGTGTGTTGAAAGTTCATGGGCAGATGAGAATACATTCAGAGGAGGACATCTGGGAAAAGGAAAATCTAGGAATCTTCATGTAGGAAAAAGGTAAAAAGAACTGGAAATGTTCACTGAGGAGAAGGGAAGACTTAGGCAGGATGGGTGATGATATTTGACAGGCTGATGTGTGAAAGAGGTAAAACTTATCTAAGACCAAGCTGAGATGCACAGATCAAAGCTAGAGATGTGTTGCAGTTTGATGTGAAAAGACCTTCCTAAAGATGAGATAGATGCAAACAGATGCCTTGAAGCACGCGAGCCACTTAGCTTTTCAGGTGTTTTCCTATCGATTGCCTTATTTTCATTTCACGGCACAGGAGATAATTGTTTTGTCATCTGCACTTTACAAATGAGGAGATGGAGGCTCAGAGAGGCTGCTGGAAGGCATAGCCAAAAATGGTAGTACATGTGTTCATACATATGCCTTCTGCAGATAAGCCCAGTGCCCCTTTTCATTAGACCCAGCTTCCAGCCATGGGGTCCAGCTGCCTGCCGCAGAAAAGGTTCCAGAAGCTGAAAGGTGTTACCAGACTTGTTGATTTGATTTGGGGAGTTGGGTTGGACGTGAGATCTTCACTGGTTCTGGGCACCATGTGAGTAGACTACCTTTTCTTCCAAGGACACCGCCCACTGGTGGCTAGCGTAGAAGAGGTGTGTGTCTCCCTGAGGTGGTCAGCAAGAGCAGGCGGGGCTCCGCAGTGTCAGTGCTGCTCTCTCCTGGGCTGCCTGGCCATGACTCCTAGCATTACTACGAAATGCTTTGTAGTGACTTCTGGTTTTTGTTCAAGAGTGCAAAAAAATTAAATGGATGTTTACTGGGTCTTTCGAGACACAATTTTTATTTTGGGAGTTCTGAGAAAGCAAATGTTGTAAATTGCCAAGACTTACAACGTTCATGTCTCCTGTCTGGGCAGTGCTGTGCAGTCAGTGCCCATGGGTGGTTTTGCATTGACACTAGAAATGTGGTAAACTCTCCAGGGATTCATTTCTCTGCAAGGTAAAATCAACTTCTTTAAGAATTACTATGGCAACTGGGACACTCAAGATGCCAGGTGGTACTGAGAGATACTGAACATGTGTAATACTTTGCTTCTCTCCAATTTAGGAATGGCTTTCTAAAGGACATGGGGAATATAGAGAAATTCCTAGTGAGAGAGACTTTTTTCAAGAAGTCAAGGAGAGCAAAAAAGTGGTTTGCCATTTCTACAGAGATTCTACATTCAGGTAACTTTATTTCCATCTGTGACTTTTCTGAAATAGAATGAGATGTTTGGCTAGAGATATTCCGAGAAAACTAAAAGAACCACCTTCTCGTTCTCGTTGTTTCATTGTACTCTATGTACTCCAGTGCCTTCTTTAATGTCCGTCAGCACTTTCAAGTTAAACTAATGTTATTTTAACAGTTAACTTAGACTTGTGATGTGAAAGTGTGACTACTACTGAAAAACAACAATATTCCCATATGAATAGCTATACTTCCTGAATTATATTTTCACTAGCTAAAAACATCTGAGAAAAATACACTTAAAATATGCCCACAGACTTTCACAGTTGGTGCTCAGTCACTCCCCAGCTGGCAGCTCTGTTGGCTGAGCAGCCCTGTCTGAGGACCCAGATGTCTTAGAAAGTGAACATGCCTCAGAAGAGATTAGACTGTAAACCAGAGAACTCAATCTTTCTCTTTTTTCTGGCCGACAGATTTGATTAGGTGATGGCATTTAAAAAAGTGAGAGAAACCTCGTTTTAATCTAGATTTTAGAACTTTTCTTTAAAAAAAAAATCAGAAAACTTGAAAGTAGCAGAGCTGAAATTCACTGCAATAGCACTGTTCCATTGCTGAGTTGCAACCACCTGCCTTAGATGGACATCCACCATATTGTAGGGTCCCTGTCACTCACTGCTGTCTCAGCTCTGCCCTCTTGCCTCTGCTGCGTGCTGGCTCTTGTCTTCATCTGACAACCCACAGCTTCATTTTTTTTTAAGATTTATTTATTTATTTGAAAAGTAGAATTACTGGGTGGGGGGAGGGGGTTCATTCCCCAGATGGCTGCAATGGCCAGACCTGGCCAATCTGAAGCCAGGAGCCAGGAGCTTCTTCCGGGTCTCCCACATGGGTGCAGGGGCCCAAGGATCTGGGACATCTTTATTTATTTATTTTAAGATAAATACATAGGATTTATGTATTTACATACGATGTACTTACATAGGATGCCAGCACCACAGGTGGTGGCTTTACCCACTATGCTACAGCACCAGCCCCACAGCTTCATTTGAGTTGGTGAAAATCCCCTGTAAGGAAGCATGGAGGGAAGAGATTAGGAAGGGGGGAGGGTTCAGAGAAACACTCTGCATTTGTAGTACACTGTCATCTCCCACTGGCACACCTTCCTTAAGTTGCCAGTCGTCAAGAGGTAAAATGTTGGTATCATATCAGTGTATATGATTGATACTATTTGTTCACTTGTGTGACCAGAGAGTTATGGAAAGGCACAGAGTTTCATTGCATTGTGGCCCACTGTGCCCTGAGTGCGTAGCACTAAGCAGGGGTGGGGAAACATCTGTCCCGTGAAAGCATGTGGTCTGGCCCTGCCAAGGCTGCCGCAGGCAGGACTCAAAATTCAGTAAATCTGTAGCACCCTCATTTTTAAGTTGCTAAGTTTGTATGGTCCATGAATGTTATAAATATCCAAACGGTCATTGGCAGAAGAAAGGTTCTCCACCCCTGCCCTAGAGTAACAGTGCCCAACAAATAGAAGCTGTTTGGTAAATGTATTTGGTAGAAGTGTAAACAGTGTGGCACCAGGAGTACTTTTCAGACAGAGCTGAAGATCAAAATTCGAATCATTTAGTTAACCTGTTTATCTAGCGAAGTTCTTGGTACTTAATATGACTACATGCTTTCTTGTAGGCTAGAATATTCACAGTAACCCTTCAAGGTAGGTACTGGTGTTATGACCAGTAAAGTTTGAGAAAAGCTTTAGATGAGTATGACACCAAATGCTTCTTGGGTCTTTTGTCAGTTTGCCTTTTATGTACTTAGTATAGTTTTTTTCTCAAGTAGATTGGGTTTAGCAAAAGTTTCTTGTAATCTTGATGCCTGTTTACTGTGTCCTGAAAGTTTCTTTCCTGTATCAGATATGTAGTTCAGTAATGAAATCTCGGTGGAAAATGGTGAAAGAACCAGTGAATAAATGGTTTTTTAATTTTTTTAACGGGCAGTTCAGCTTTTTAAATTTTGTCTCAGTTTTTATTTGATACAGAAATCCTCTATCCCCTGGTTTACTCCCCAAATGTCTGCATCATGCAAGATATATGTCCAGGGCTGGAAACTCAATTCAGGTTTCTCACATGGGTGACAGGACCCAAGTACTGCTACTTCCCAGGGTGTACAGTAACAACCAGACTCAAAGTGGAGCTGAGAATCTTAACCAAGCACTCTTGGTATGGAATGTGGATGTCCCAAGTGACATCTTAATGCTAGGCGAAACGTCCAGCCGTAATTATTATAGGTGTAAGCTCCTACCCTGAGTTTTTATAAACTGGTGAACACTGTGACAAATGATTTCTCATGGGACTATAACCACATAGACTCAGTATAAATATATGGTTGAACTAACAGTACACATAGGCATTTTATCAATTACATAATAAAACAAATTCTCAGATACTCAAAAATTAAGTTGCACAGTTCAAAAGGCCTACCATATTTAAAAATATAAATGTCTGCCCATTTAAAAAAAAACACACTTTTATCTTTTCAAGAGGTTGGGAAGAGAAGGGAAAAATTAGACTTCAAAGAAAAATAAAGTGGGTAAACAACTTAAAAGGTATAGAAAAGCATTAGAAGAATTTCAGAAATTTTATAGTAAGTATTGTTTTAGTTATAATAACAAAATACCTTTTAAAAGTATTTGCCGAATTAGGGACCAGCACTGTGATATAGAAGGCTAGGCTTCTACCTGTAGTGCCAGCATCCCATGTGGGCGCTGGTTTGAATCCCAGCTGCTCCACTTCAAATTTGGCTCCCAGCTAATATGCCTGAGAAAGCAGTGAAAGATGATCCAAGTACTTGGGCCCCAGTACCCATGTGGGAGACCCCATCAGCTGTTGCAGCCAATTTGGGAAGCAAACCAGAAGTTGGAAGATCTCTCTCTCTCTATCTCTGCCTTTAAAAAAAAAAAGTATATATATATATGTATATATATATATATATGCCAAATTAAAGAGCATGTTTTACATACTCTGAGCAAGACACAGGCAATATTTTTACTAAAAATATTTAATAATCTGCCCCCATTCTTTTTCTAGGCCCTCCCTTTAAATTGAACCTCCAAGTGCAATTAATGTTTTTGTCTCAAGACATTAAAGACATGTGATACAATGTAGATTATCAAAATAGGATTTTTCTATAACATTACAAAAGGAGATATATAATCACTATAAGATTTGATTAAATTACTTTGTTTGGATGTAGGGAGATAGAGATCTCCCATTTGCTATTTAACTTCCCACAAATGCCTACAGCAGCCAAGGCTGAACCAGGCCAAAGCCAGAAGCCAGAAATTCAATCCGAGTATTTCATGTAAGTGTCAAGGACCCAATTACTTGAGCCATCACCTGCTTCCTTCCAGGGTATACATGAGCTGAAAGCTGGAATCAGGAGCAGAGCCAGTACTTGAGCCTAGGTACTCTAATATTGAATGCAGGTGTTCCCAGCAGCTTCTTTACTGCTACACCAAAATGTACACAGATTATGCTGCTTATTTTGCACTTCATCTTTCTAAATTACCTATTAATAAAGTACTGGCATGGGAATAGATTTAAAGACATAACATTCTAGGGCCGGCGCTGTGGCATAGCGGGTAAAGCTGCTGCCTGCAGCGCCAGCATCCTGTATGGGCACTGGTTCTAGTCCCAGCTGCTCCACTTCCGTTCCAGCTCTCTGCTATGGCCTGGGAAAACATTGGAATATGGCCCAAGTCCTTGGGCCCCTGCACCCATGTGGGAAGACCTGGAGGAATCTCCTGGCTTCTGGCTTTGGGTCAGTGAAGCTGTTGCAGCAGTTGGGGAATGAACCAGTGGATGGAAGTTCTCTCTCTGCCTCTCCTTCTCTCTGTGTAACTCTGACTTTCAAATAAATAAGTAAGTAAATCTTAAAAAAAAAAAAGACAACATTCCACAGGATGTTCATTGGTGTAAATGATAAGTGTATTTTAACTGCTGAACAGCAAGAATCTTTTGCTAAATGTCTAAATAGGTTGATCATAATCTAAACATAAAGATTGTGGTTCTGTCACATTTGTGACTTGGTATTTTCTTTCAGTATTCCCAAGTCTTGTCTTGAATTCCACTTCCAAAATAATAGCATCAGGCACCCGGATTTTACAGAATGCAACAGTTATTTCTGTGACCACTGGAATCGTCTAAGCTTGCCTGTGTTTTAGGACAGTACTTCTCCAAATACCAAAGTTGCTGACTGTTAAAAGCCCCATGTCTGGTTAGGCATGTGACACGGAGGTTAAGTTGCCACTTGGGATCCTATATCCCATATCTGTTCATGTCCTGGCCCTTCTGTTTCCAGTCCAACTTCCTGCTAATGAGTGCAGTGGGAAGCAGCAGATCATGGTTCAAGTAGATGGGGTACTGCCACACATCTGAGAGACCTGGATTGAGTTCCTGGGTTTTGGCTTCAACCTGACCCAGCCCTGACTGTTGTGGGCAGCTGAGGAGTGAACCAGCTGGTGGAATATCTCTATGTCTCTCTCTCTGCCTGTCAAATGAAAATAATTTTTTTAATGGGGAAAAAAACCTCCATGCTGCTTTTGTCTTTTGAGTTGTATATCTTCGTATTTCATTCCACCTTCAATTAGTGGTAGGGCAAAGGCCACTGGGACTCTTCTAAGGCCTGCAACACAAAAACAGGAGTACAACACTTGGGTTCTTCCCGAAAGCTAATTTCAAGTCCTCAGCTAATCTGGTTAGATGGTGGTTTGACACCATCAAGAGGCCACTTGAAAACATGATGCCTTCTCCAGCGTTAAAGTAAGTGTAGTGTCTTAAGTTGCTTCATGTATTCTTACTGTTGTAATCCCATATTTCTTGAGTTCTCCCGTAAATTTTTCTTGGGTTATAGTAGGTAGATTATAAATAATAAGTCTTGCATTTTTTGTGTTTTTAAAATTTTTGATGTATTTATTATTGAAAGGCAGACAGACAAAGAGAGCTCTTTCTTCTGCTGATTCACCCCCCAGATGCCTGCAACTGCCAGGACTGGGCCAGGCTCAAGTAAGGAGTCCAGGTGTCCCACGAGAGAGATAGGGTCCCAAGTACCTAAGCCATCACCTGTTGCCTTCCAAGGCCAGAATTGGAAGCAGAGCCATGACCTGAACTCAGGCACTCCAGTATGGAATATGGGTGGCTCAAGCAGCATCCTTTTTTTTTTTTTTTTAAGATTTAGTTTATTTGAAAGAGTTACAGAGGTAGAGACAGAAAGAAGGAGGTCTTACATTCACTGGTTCATTTCCCAGATGGCTGCAACAGCCAGAGCTGAGCTGATCTAAAGCCAGGAGCTTCTTCCAGGTCTCCATGTGGGTACAGGAGCCCAAGCCGTGCTCATTTCTGATTCTTAAAGGTCTCTGGGTACTATGAAGTTTAGATCTGTCCTTAATGTTTCCTGTTTGAGGTACCAGGAAACATGAATAAGGGAAACAGCAATAAAGATGTACCTTACTGATGTTTATTTTGTGACTTACAGGTGTAAAATACTAGACAGACATTTGGTGATATTGTCCAAGAAACATCTTGAGACAAAATTTTTGAAGCTGAATGTGGAAAAAGCACCTTTCCTTTGTGAGAGACTGCGTATCAAAGTCATTCCCACACTGGCACTGGTAAAAGACGGGAAAACACAAGATTATGTTGTTGGATTTACCGACCTAGGAAATTCAGATGACTTCACTACGGAAACTCTGGAATGGAGGCTCGGTTGCTCTGATATTCTTAACTACAGGTAACTTTCATCAGAAAAACATTTAATCCATATCTAGTTGGCATTTTCAGAGAAGTTTCTTGTAACTTTTTTTTTTCCCCCAAGATTTACTTACTTGAAAGGCAGAGTGAGAAAGAGATTGAACTTCATCTACTGGTTCACTCCCCAAATGGCCGCAGTGGCTAGGGCTGGAGCTGAGCCGGGCCAACGCCAGGAGCCAAGAATTCCATCTCCATCTCCGGCATGGGTGGCAAAGGCCCAACTTGGGCCATCCTATGCTGCATTCCCAGGTATATTAGCAAGGACCTGGGTCAGAAGTGGAGCAGCAGGGACTCTATAACTGGCACTCATACAGGATGCCAGAGTTGCAGGCAGCAGCTTAGCTCAGTATTCCACAATTCCAGCCCCACTTTCTTGTATCTTACTAAATTAATAGCTTTTAACTGAGATGTAGAAAGTTTAAAAGCATAACTCTTAAAATGTGATTGGGGGGCCAGCACTATGGCATAGTGGGTAAAGCCACTGCCTGCAGTCCTGGCATCCCATATGGGTGCCGGTTCACATCCCAGCTACTCCACTTCCAATCCAGCTCTCTGCTATGGCCTGGGAAAGCAATAGAGGATGGCCCAACTCCTTGAGCCCCTGCACCCGCATGGGAGACCAAGAGGAAGCACCTCACTCCTGGTTCCGGATCAGCACAGTTACAGCCAGCTGGGGAGTGAACCAGTGGATAGAAGATTGATCTCTGTCACAGTGTCTCTGCCTCTTCCTCTGCCTCTCTGTAACTCCGTCTTTAAAATAAATTAAAAAAAAAAATGATTAGCACAGAAAGATCAGATTTGTGGAGGCTTGCTTTGTGGTGCAGCAACCTAAGCAAGCTGCTGCCTGTGATGCTGGTATCCAATATGGATGTTGGTTCAAGTCCAGGCTGCTCCACCACCAATCAGCTCCCTGCTGTTGTGCCTAGGAAAGCAACAAAGATGGCTCAAGTGCTTGGCCCTTACCACTGATGTGGGAGACCTGGATGGAGTTCCAGCTCCTGGCTTCAGCCTGGCCCAGCCCAGCAATTGCAGCCGTTTGGGGGTGAACCAGTGGATGGAAGATACCACTCTTTCCTTGTCTCTGTCTCTCTGTAACTCTGCTTTTAAATAAATAAGTAAATCTTAAAAAAAAAAAAAAAAATACCAGACTTCTAGATAAATCTGAGTCTTAGAGTACACCTGACTAAAAGTGTTCAACCTTTAAATATGCTATTGAAATTGATTCTGTGTTAGTCAGGAAACCCAAAATAACAAGTTGACTGTTTCAGATTGAGGCCCCGTTACTCCAGTTGACAATGACTTAAGTGATTCTCTTTGGGGAAATTTAAAACACGCTACTATAAAGGTTATATTTTGAAATGTTAGATTTTTTAGGGGTTCTGTGCTTAGTTTATATTTCTGTGGAGAAAAGTCTCAAAGTCTAAAATGCAGTGTCCATTTCTCATTCATCTCTTTGTCCACTTCTCAAAAAAAATAATTTATCTAATTCCACAAAGGAGAACATCATCTTAAATCTTGCCCCTGTTAGTGATTTGCAAAAATAACAGGTAAAATTATGCAGTTATCATTCCAAAGGTATAGTGAGTAGAAAGTTGTCATCTTTTCTCTCCCCTTTTTCCTCCCTACTTTTTTCTAAATCCTCTACTAGACGTGCCTACCTCATTCTTATGCTATGTAAATTGGTTTCATTTTATGAATATTCATAGAATACTAATGTTAAAATTTATATACTTTGAAAAGACTTCACACTTCTAACACATTGCATACTCTTTACCCACATTCTCTTATTTTAAACATTTTATGTTTGCTTTATCATTCTGTTTGTAGATACAAGTAAAATTTTATTTCAGAACCATTTGAGTAGAAGTTATGGATATCCCTTGACTCCTAAATATTTCCATATGTATTCCCTAGGAAGAGGGACATTTTCTTGCTTAGATGCAGTGCAATATTAAAATAGGAATTATATAGACAGGAATTTACAGACCTTATGACACTTTACCATTATCCCAGTAATGTCCTCTGTACAAAAAAAAGTGTCACATCTACTTATATGTCTTTAGCTTTTTGTAACTTACAATTTGTTAGTTTCTTTATTTTTCAAGACTTTGGTATTTTTGAAGAGTTATTATTTTATAGAACAAGGTTCTATATAAGGTTATTATTTTATAGAACATCCCTCCTTTGCGTTTTCTAATATTTCCTCAAGATTTGGTTCATAATATGCATTTTTGATAAGCATTTTATGGAAGTGATGCTGGATCCCTTTTCTCTGGTGCATCACATCAGGAGGTTTAGGATGATGGTTTGTCTCACTTCTAGTGATAATTGTACGTCAAATGAACCCTTGTTCTCTGAGGCCAAATGGTAATTTAATGAAGAACTCTCCCATCTCCTCCACTTAGTATTCAGTGAGTTGTAGTCTTACTGTTATTATTTACTTTGACATTCACACAGCCCCAGATTTGACCTAGGGCCTCATTCATGCTGGCCTCTGTATTCTTTGGACATAGCCCCATAATTCTTGGAGCACTTCTTTTCTGGTATAAACAAGGTGTGTTGGGGGTTACATTGTATTCTCCCTTGAATCAGCTGTTTCTGCAAGGGGCTGTGCTTCCTTTTAGTGACAAATGACTTTTCAAAACTAACATCTGGCTTCTAGGAATACTCCCCAGATATTTTTTTAAAGAAATGTCACATTTTATTTCTCAGACATCATTGAAAAGTTTAATACCAATTCCAGGCCAATGATACTGAATTCCATAAGTTTTGCTGATATCTCTAGAGACCTGAATATTGAGGAATATTAAGCAGAATCAAGCTAGTTATAGCAGGTTAGCTATGAGAAGTAGAGTAGCATTGTTTGTCATTCTAACAGTAAAAAGAATTTCTAATACAGGCTCGCCATATCCAGAACCAATAAAACCAAAATGCTCTTCTGTGCTTTTCAATCAAAAATTCTGTTGACAGAACCTTGAAATGTTAATGAATAATTAGTGACAAATGGGGGAAAAAAATTACCTAAGTGGTACAAAATGAGATTTAAAGCTATTAATCATCAAGGTGGGTATTATACCTCTTCCATGATACATACTACAAAGAAATTGTGTTATATTCTAAGAGAAAGAAAAGATTTTTTTTTTACTAAAACTTAATGTCTCAACTGTTCTAAACTATGAAGGATAAAATACTATTCAAATTTGTTTTATTTTTAGTGGAAATTTAATGGAGCCACCATTTCAGAACCAAAAGAAATTTGGAACAAACTTCACAAAGCTCGAGAAGAAAACTATCCGAGGAGGAAAGAAATACGATTCAGACTCTGATGATGATTAGAGCTCAATAATTCTTTGTAAATCGTCTTCTTATTTCTACAATTACTTCAGGTTTAAATGTGTTTTCTAAATTCTGTTGCTTTTGATCCATTGATCATCAGTACTCATATTCTGGAGATTTATATACTCCAACCATTGAAAGGCATCTTTACCATATTCTCTGTGGCCATCATGTTTCAGCTGAGGAAAATGTCTGAGTTCCTAAATTATCTGGGAAGAGTGTGGATTCTCTATTTTTGAGGTTGATTTTATCACGTATGTTTCTTACATCTTTATACCATTCAGAATTGTGTTTTTAATCTATTTATTAGAATTAGAAATTCAGCAGACTATTTCAGGACTGATTCTTAATCAGCGTTATTTACTTTCTACAGCAGGTCATGTAACATTTACTGGTGTAACATTGCACTTGTAAATGAACTATGAACACGCTTCACTTTGGGAATATATTGAAGTAACTATTAAAATACTGCTTATTTATTCTGGATGCTTCATGTTGATGTTGAATCAACTGATGGCAGCAGAACACTATTTCAGGTTGTGAACATACTGCCTTAAAGGTCCTGATTGCCTGTATTTTAATCATGCATTAAACAGTAATCAGGAAACACTTGAAACGGCAACTGAGGAAATCCACTGACTCCTCAATGAAACAACCGTAACAGGTAAAAATTGTTTTTTAAAAAATGTTTAAGTTTCTGAAAGTTGTCAAAAGTACAAACTGCCAAAATATTTATTCAAGAAAATCTAAATCTAGGCTTAAAAGAAAAAAGTCTGTGGCATTTGAGCCCTGACCTCACTTCCCCTCTCTTCAGATCCCAGTCTGGGCCTACAGCTTGTCCTTTTGAAGAGTAGATTAATGTTACTTCTCACTCCCCTCAGTTTCGTGTTACAGAAGCACTTTGCCAAACAAAAATAGCCAAGGAGTCTAAAGCTGCTTCCTCTCTCTGGTCCCTGCTTGTAGTTCAGAAGCTGTGACACAGGAATGGCACATCAACAATATTGGACTCCAAATGCTTTTGCCCCAGCTTACCCATAGGGTGGAGGTTCCATACAAGGTGAGGCAAGCAGAAAAGTCCAGAGACTACCACTCACTTCCCCACTTGCAGGCTGTGGGTGTCGTTTCTGAAAAAGGCTACTATTTATCTTCAGCTCTGTATCAACAGCACAGCAGTCTATCAAGTGGGAATGGCATGCTATAAAAACAGCTCCATAACATTCACCAAAGGGCCTGACTGTGTATATTAGAGTAATGGAGGAGTTAGAGTATGAGGGTGTTGCCAAATACAGTGGATTGTTGCTGTGGGGTATGGCGTAATGGCAGTGAAGAGGAGACTGGTAGCTCCATGATAGCAACAGGCAGTCGCAACAAGAAAAGACCAACAAAAAGTTCAACAAAGAATGACAGAGGTAGAGTAAGATTCAAAGATACTCTACAGGAGCAATCAACTCCCCCCACCCCCACCGCTAACAGTGACAAATGAAGTATAGAGGTTAGCTAGCAGAAGTATTTGCTTGGCTGGCGCCGTGGCTCGATAGGCTAATCCTCCGCCTTGCGGCGCCGGCACACCGGGTTCTAGTCTCGGTCGGGGCGCCGGATTCTGTCCCGGTTGCCCCTCTTCCAGGCCAGATCTCTGCTATGGCCCGGGAGTGCAGTGGAGGATGGCCCAAGTGCTTGGGCCCTGCACCCACATGGGAGACCAGGATAAGTACCTGGCTCCTGCCTTCGGATCAGCGCGATGCGCCGGCCACAGCGCGCCGGCCATTGGAGGGTGAACCAACGGCAAAAGGAAGACCTTTCTCTCTGTCTCTCTCTCACTGTCCACTCTGCCTGTCAAAAAAAAAAGTAGTTGCTAACAGCAGGATGTAATAACAATAGAGGCAAACTGGCTAGAACCTTTCCAGGGAGTTTAGGAAGGGAAACAGTGAAGCAGAACCCTCTCCTAAAAGAAAAAATCCTCCTGTGCTTGGAATTGGAGGGAGAAGTTAGGGTGATTAAATACCCCCAGACCTAATTGTCTAAGGAAGAACAGCAGAGGCCACACTTTTCAGGGTAAAAGGACTTAGCTGGAACAGTTTAGCCAAGTAACTAAACAAGCCCAATTTGGGAAGAAAGAGACAGGAATATGCAGACCTGCTGTGACATGTTATCTAAAATACCCGGTTTTCAATAAAAAATTCAGACATGCAGAGAAACAATAAATTGATCCATACGTAGAGAACAAGAGGAAGAAACAACCCACATGTTGGAAGCAGACCTCAAAGTGCAATTATTAACATGTTGAAACGAAAGGAAATAATTGATGCTGATGTGAAAGAAGGTATGTGACAATATTCCATCAAATGGAGTATATCAGTAAATTAAGGAATTACAATAAAACTAAGTGGAAATTCTGGAATTACAAGCTACAAAAACTGCAATGATGAATTGAGAAGTGCTCAAAAGTAAATCAGCCTTTAGTAAAAAGAATCTGGAAATAAAGATTAATCGGTATGAATGCAGATAACACAATCCAAAAAATACAAGAGAAAAAAGAAAAGTATGAAACATGAGTTATCAGGCTGGTGGTGTGGCCTAGCAGGCAAAGCTGACCTATAATGCCTGCATCCCAACTGGGTCCTGGCTGCTCCACTTTCAATCCAGCTTCCTGCTAATGCACTTGGGAAAACGGCGGAAGATGGCCCATGTGCTTGAGCCCCTAGCACCCAGATGGAAGAATGGGATGAAGCTCTTGGCTCCTGGCTTTGGCCTGGCCTAGTGCTGGCCATTGTGGCCACCTGGGTCATGAACCACAAGATGGAAGACTTTTTTGGTTTCTCCCTCTCTGAAACTCTGATTTTCAAATAAATAAATCTTTTTTTAAAATGCTTTTAAAATCACTTATATGTGCTGGTGTTAAAGGAGAAAGAAAAAACAAATTATAAATACCTGAAAATCCCAAATTTGATGAAAAATGGTAACCCAAGATCAACAATTTTAAGATAACCGATCCATACCCAGATGGAGTAAAAAATTATGAATGGCAAAAAAAAATGTTGAAACATCAAAAGAAAAAAAAAAACACTCATCTTGCACAGGACAGTAAAAAATCTTGAAAACCACAAAAGAAAGATTAAATATATAGAAGAAAAACCCTGTGGAAATTAACTTCTCAGAAACAGTGGGGGCCCAAAGGCAGAAGAATAGCAGGAAGAACTGCTCAAAGGAAAAAAGCCTTCTCAACTAAGAATCTTATTTCTTTTCTTTCTTTTTTTTTTTTTTTTTTTTTTTTTTTTTGACAGAGTTAGAAAGAGACAGAGAAAGGTCTTCCTTTTTCCGTTGGTTCATCCCTCAGATGGCCGCCACAGCGGGTGCTGCACCAATCCAAAACCAGGAGCCAGGTGCTTCCTCCTGGTCTCCCATGCAGGTACAGGGCCCAAGACCTTGGGCCATCTTCCACTGCCCTCCTGGGCCACAGCAGAGAGCTGGACTGAAAGGAGCAACCAGGACTAGAATCTGGGGTGCCGGCACCACAGGTGGAGGATTAGCCTAGTGAGCCGTGGCACTGGCCAAGAATCTTATTTCAAAAAGTATCAGAAGTGAGGGCAAAATGAGGTTGTTTTTGTTTTTGTAAAGACAAGGTGAGCTGAAGTGAGAATTCTTGTGACGCACATCTAGAAAAAATGTTGCAGGAAATTTTTTCAGTGTGAAAACAAGACCACACTGACAAATCCTGCCTCAAAAAATTAAGTGAAAATTACAAAGGAACTTAAGATGTTGCAGTTAATCTATTTCTCCTTGTTCTATAAAACAACATAACTGTGCATATAACAGAGAAATGTGTATTTGCAAAAATCAAGTGTGTGGACGCCTGTATCGCAATAATGAATCTACAGGAAGAAATGCACAGAATGAGAAATGATAAATAAGAAGACTAGCAAATGTACTTGCTCTCCCTTCAGGTATTATGAAAGACCTAGGATTATAAGAAGTGTTAATGCATTTAGACTGTGATGCAGTGATACACAAGTGTGCAACTGACTAGAAGGAATAGAGCTGTAGAGTAGATTCTGATAAGATCATTCTTTTGGGTCCTTGGTTCCAAGATGACAAGTGAAGGAACAATGGCCATGCTAAAAGGGGTTGTGGCCACGTGCAGCAAACTGCTGTCACTGTGTGCTGAAGGACAAGGCCAATAAGAAGTTTTTCATTTGAAACTGGAGGCTGCAGCCGTCAGGGACGTTGCCAAAGCAGTGTTTTCGATGCCTGTGTGCATTGAAGCTGTGTGAAGTTACATTATTGTGTGGGTGGACGCAGTTCACAGCCTGGTGGTCAGAAATCTATATCATGAAGCCTACAAGGACCAGACACCACCACCCCAATTTAGGCCTGCTGGTGCTGCCCTACAGCCTCCACCAAAGCCCATGTAAGGAATGTGATCTTTAAAGGTTGAAGAAAAATTATTCTCTGGAAAATAAAAGTGGAAATGTATGCTTAATATTAAAAAAAGATGTATAAAGTCTAGGTTAACTACTAAAGAAATAATTGAAAAAGTACATACTGAAAAAAAATCATTAAAGGAATTAAAATATACCAGAATATGTTCACTCATATAAAAGAAGGCAGAAATCAACTGGAAAACAGTAAACTGACAAAAATCCAACCATATTAATAGTGACATTGTACAATGAATTAATCATAAAGCAAATGTCATAGTGGGTTTTAAAACCATGATCCTGGGGCACATATTGTGGCACAGTGGATTGCACTGCCAGTTTGGACACCTGCATCCCCATATCAGAATGCCAGTTCAAGGCCTGATTCCTATACTTCTAATCCAGCTTCCTGCTAGTGCACATGGGAGAAAGCAGATGATGGCTGGACTGGAAGAGGAGCAACTGGATAGAACAACTGTGCCAATATATGGGATGCTGGCACCACAGGCAGAGGATTAACCAAGTGAACCATGGTGCCGGCCCCGAAACTGTCTTTTAAAGGAAAAGAAAAGTTTGGGATATTCAGTCAAAAAGTTCAGGTCATTTTTATGAGGAAGAAAAATGGATTAGCCTTGGAATTTTATCTACTACACTTTATGTCAAAAGACAGTAGAGAGATTGGATTAAGATAGCAGAGTAGGGAGGGAGCTTACTGCTCCAGTCTAGGAAAAGATAATTTTTAAAAAGTGGAGAGATTGTAGTCTCAAGGAAGTTAGGGAGAAAACAGTAGAGGAAACTCCAAACAAATTAGAGGGACACAGTGGACCTATGTGGAGGGCAGGGGTGCACAAAACTCAGACCCCAGCAGCCAAGAGCCTCCACACCAGTGCTGGAGAGTGAGGTTAGCCCAGCCACTGACAATAAAGCTGCAGGAAGAGCCTGGAGGGAATCTGGCTTGAAATTCTGTGGGAGACAGCGTACCTGCCAAACTAAAGGAGAAAAAAAGAGGGGTCACATTTCTCTCTCCCCGATCACCCTGCAACAGTGTCCCATAATAAGCCAGTAGAGAAC